TTAAGTGTTATTTTGATGTATGGGAACTAGAATTTTCCATCTGGGTAGCATAGTTTGTCATGGTCCTATCTTCTTCCTTAAGCTTGATTTTTTTAAGATTTTATTCACTTATTTGACAGAGAGAGAGAGCACAAGCAGGGGGAGCAGCAGGTAGAGGCAGCGGGAGAAGCAGGCTCCCCATTGAGCAGGGAGCCTGATGTGGGGCTCCATCCCAGGACCCTGGGATCATGACCTGAGCCGAAGGTAGCCACTTAACTGACTGAGCCACCCAGGTGCCCCCTTAACCTTGATTTCTGAATAAAAAATTTGCTGTTTATGGCTGCTGCCTCTTCTTTTGCTAATCTTCTTGCTCAAAGTAGAGAGATGATAGAGGGATTTTTGAGACATAAACAGTTGGTTCATGCCTCCTTCTCTCCACCTCTGCAGAACTGAGCTCCTATCTTTGCCAGCAGCCCTTCTGTGTGTCCCACTGCTTTCACTTTCCAATGTCTGTCCCCACTCTTGCCAACACAGCGTCCTCTCACTTCTGGGTTTCTTCTTTATGCTCCTTTTTCTTCCAGTCTTTCCCCTTAGTTTTTGTCTCATGTACAAACAGCCTGACTTTTACTGACAGTGACTTTTCTTTTTGCCACTACATTAGGTTAGATCTGAATTTTTTTTTTTTCCTATGCTTACCTGGTTACTGGGTTCTTGGAAATCTTTTTGTTGGAGAGATATATGTATATATATGTATATATATATACACACATATACATATCTTTAGTATACTATGTCTATATTAAATTTATATATTGTTTGTTTCCTCCTGGGGAATAGGAACATTTAGGTAGTGCTTCCTAATTTGGAACTACTTGAAAAAGCTGGAAAATTGCAGTAATAATAGTAACCACATCACCACCACAGTGAGAGCGGTAACAATGAAAACAATCATTACAGTCCTTACTGTGTTGGTCAGAGTGATTTACCTGGATGATCTCAATTATATCTCACACCACCACTATGGGAATAGACAACAATCCCTTAAGTCCTTACTGCGTTGGTCAGAGTGATTTACCTGGATGATTTCAATTATATCTCACACCACCACTATGGGAATAGACAATAATCCCACCTGAGGGTAAGGAAATGCAGGTGTGAAGTCAGGGGCTGTGCTGAAGGCCCACTGACAGCAACAGCAGAGTTGTTCAACAGGCAGTCTGACTCTAGAACCTATGCTGTTAACCAGAGAGCAAGATTTCACTGGGCCGTTAGTCTAGATCTACCATGTCTGCCAGAATCAAAGAAGGGATCACCGTACATTCTCTTTAAATCAGCATAACACAGTGAGCACACATGCCACATTTCAGTCTGAGTCATCTAGATTACTAGAATATTTCTTCTAGTGTTGTGAAATTCTAGTAGCTAAATCTCTAGTAGAATAACTAATTATTGTACCTTATATTTTAAAGGTGAGAAGATCTTGGGGAGAAAAAGCTAGGTAAAACACTCCCAAATCACTAAAATACATATAGCTTCTTCCAGGATTCTAAGAATTTTTAATAGCTCTAAAATGAGATTGACGTAAACAAAAATCACTGTTATTCATTAAGGATAAAAGAATTCAGAGAATTTTGAAAATAATTTAAGACATTATAGAAATTTTTATATTAAAGCAAGATATATTGAGAAGATACTCAAAGGCCAATGGACTCCCACAACTGGCTATACAAAATCATTTAATAATAGTGAAGCATTTTTCATGATGCACTTAATATTTGTGAAATACATATTAATCAGATGTTATTTATTCAAATCTGGCCATAAGGAGTTTATAGCATATTATGTATCACACTAGCATGTTTCAAGTTAATAGCATATAATTATCTGGCTTGATCTGTGGAAGTTGTATTATATCTAATAATCTAAAATTGAGTCAAGTGCTATTATAGAAATATCCATACAAAATAATATCTTAAGCATGGAAAATGGGTTCTGAAATTCCACTGGAAAGACCATCTAACCAACGGCTGCACAAAAACACAAAAACATTTTAATGCAATATCCAATATGCCCAGATGCAATGAAATCTATGAGTAGAGAAGCAATGCTGTATTTCATGCTGTGTGTGTCCTTACTTCATTAACATAAATAGATTTTCCTTCTCCAAACTGTCTGTCTTTTCTCCTCCGTTTCCATACTTCTCTCTATTCTAACACTATGCTTATACTCTAATAGCTGGTTAGTCCCCTTAGGAATTGTTTCTGCTGTGCAAGCTTTCAATCTGAGAGGAAAGAAAGAATAAAAATAAATTTCAAGTGCATTATTTCTCAAAGTCTCTGAGATATAAGACCAGTTTTTTCCCCAGTCCTTCCAGGACTGACAAGTCAGCAAAATACAATAGCAATGTATTACAAAAGAAGAAGATGAAAAAAGAGAATATAAGTCCCATTTCTTGAAATTATTATTTGATTTAACCAACCTGAGTTTTACTATTGACATACTATATAAGTTTCTAAACACTTAATTTGAAATTTCTGTACTTTGCTCACTGTGGAAAGGTAGCCAAGAGACTGAAGATGGGCTTGGGCCCAGCAATCACACACAATGAGGTAGCTCTCACTCTGACGTGCTTCACCTGTTTCCTTCTCACCTTCGGGACCCAAAGACCTTCTCCTCAAGGAGACCTGGATGCTCAGTAGAGAATAGGACCTACCAGGGTGCCCTATGTACTTCTCTCATAGCGCTCAGGAGACTCTGCCCTTCACCAATGAAAGCTCTACCAGCCAACGGACCTTGTTTGTCTTACGATTTGTTTCATTACAAGGCTTAGGACTATTACATGCATTAATAAAGTCTTTTCAGGGGCGCCTGGGTGGCTCAGTGGGTTAGGCCTCTGCCTTCAGCTCGGGTCATGGTCTCAGGGTCCTGGGATCGAGTCCCGCATCGGGCTCTCGGCTCGGTGGGGAGCCTGCTTCCTCCTCTCTCTCTCTCTCTGCCTATCTTTCTGCCTACTTGTGATCTCTATCTGCCAAATAAATAAATAAAATATTTTTTAAAAAAATAAAGTCTTTTCATCACTCTTCCTTTTATTCCTTTACTCAACTGATACTCAGTTGAGTTGTACATGCAGAAACCTAATTCTTTCCTAGGCAGCTTTAAAGTTCTGGAATCAGAGATCCAGTAACAGCCCTCTAATAACACATACTATCTGTTCTAAGACGGTTTTTATTTTATAGCCACCAAATATATCAAACCTTATAAATCAGGTTTTTTTTAAGAGAGAGTCTAAGAGAGGGATGGGGGAGGGGCAGAGAGCAAGAGAGAAAATCTTAAGCAGGCTCCACACCTAGCACACAGTGCAATCAATGCAGGGCTCGATCTCACCACTCTGAGATCACCACCCAAGCCGAAATCAAGAGCTGGGCACCTAACCAACTGAGCCGCCCTGGTGCCTGTATAATTCAGGTATTTTTATACCAAAGGCAAAACCAAATTTGAAAAGATTAATGGAACTGGTCCCATAAAATTTTAGTTTACTGAACAGGAAAAAAAAAAAAAAACCTAAAAATGATAAGCTGGAGATCTATCTATAAAATATTACAAAAGTTTAAGAATCTTAATAAATGAAATAAGACAAAGATGAATACTGCCATGAAAAGAAAAAATGATTTATCTTCTCAATTAAAAATGTATATGAAAACAATAAAATCTTGTACCTGCTAAAATGGCACTTTTTAAAAAGATATTATCCAATGTGTTCATGCTAATATGTAGCCCTTCCTTGTGTAAATATATAACAAATCTTTAAGAGTCTAAAACAGTTTACTTAGCAATTCACAGTTAAATTCATTCAAAGGAAGTAATTAAGAATGTAAACACTCATGGTATTGCTCTAGCTGTCTAATAAAAGGGAGAGTAGTTACATAAGATATACCTATCAAACTGCACAGTCATTAAAATGATGCTGTAGAATAGAATTTATTGATGTGGAAAGATGTTTACAATGTATTCACAATCTATTGTTACCGAAAATAACAGGTTGCAATACTCTATTATACAATACGGTCCCATACTGCCTATCTAGAAGAACATATATCAAAGTAATAATAAATATATGAGATCTTTAATTATTTTTTATTCTGTTTTCTAATTTACCTGCTATAACTATTTTAATGCAATGAAAAATAAGATTAAAGATATTAAAAAGATAAAAATACAAAAAGAACATCTTCAGTCAAAAAGCAGTGATAAGGGAATTAATTCAATTAGTGGCACTAGTAAGCGTAGATTGTGATTGAAAGGATTTGCAGTAAATTAGGAGACTATTTCAATTAGGAGACCCACTTTCAGGTATTTTTCAGGCACATTTGCATGATAATGATCTGCTAATCACACTTATGCCTGTGTATTCCTAAAAACAGTACTGACAATGTTCAACTTTCAACTTTTCTTCTATCTGACTTGCATTTACATTATGTTTTGTCCACAGTTTAAAAATTAGAGCCCAAGAACTGGTTCTTAGAAGTAGTACCTCCAAGATGCATGGAGTGGTTGTCGATTTGATCTCTCCATCCTTGGTAGGTCGTTTAGTTCACGTCTATCACACAGTCTACTTGTATAGCTACGATAATTACACTGAAGACAACAGCATTATCAAAAGGCTGTCCAATGCCAACAGTTTGAGCACTTCTCTCTCCAGCCTCTCAGGTCATTGACTTTGGGTTTGTCATTCCTTTTTGAATGGACAGAGGCCAAAGCAGAAAACTTCAACTTCAGGGAGCATTTCAGAGCTTTTTGAAAAGAACTTCATTGATGATTGGGTCTAACCCCTTGATCTCATAAATATGGAAACAGAGGCCCAGAGAATAAGTAAGTGAAGAGCCAAACCAGAACCAGGTTATCTTGTCTCTCGGGCCAGTCTGCCTTCAGCCCCCATCTACTACTTCCACCCAACAACTGGGTTTCAGTCTAGAAAGTCACTGTCAGACTCCAGGGTTGTTGAAAAGAGCGTGTATACAGACCTTGCATCTGGTAGCTGTAGGGTGCCTGTCCGGGTTGAGGGGTACCGAAGCTTGTGCCGTAGCTGAGAAATCCTGTCTGTCCGGGTGACTGAGACTGTGACAATCCACCTTCGGTCTTGATGCCTGCCCACAATGCACCTAAATCAGTTAGTGATAGCTTATCTATCTGTTCATCTCCAAAGCTGGTCAATACACAAAAACACTCACACAGCTGTTGAGTCACAAACACTTCCCAATGTCATCTCAGTTATCAAGGGTGTACAGGCATAGACTAGAATACCCGAAACTAGAACTTCCATTGAAAAAAACCAAAAACAAAAACAGAGGAGTATTACAGATTTGACTGATTATTCACATTGTCCTTTCCTGTTTTTCTGGTTTACATTTTCTATAAATTTTAACTTCTATGCTATCGTGTCTATATGTAGTTTTGTTTTATAAGAGATTAAAAGAGCATCTCTTGTAGTCAAGAGATGGCCTTAATTAAACTTTAACTAGATTATTCTAAAAGTCACTATGTTGATTAGTGTCAAAATTCTCTTTTCTGAAAAGAGATTAGTCTCTTGCCTTGCAGCATTCCCCCCCTACCCCGTCTTTTCCTTACTCTTTCTGCCCAAAGTTGATGTTAGCACACAACTCATTTTGAAGTCAGAATAGGCACAGAAGTAAGCAAGCCTAGGGTTCCTTCTCCCAAATACCCAGATCCTACCGGAAAGGAAGCACAAAGAAAGGAGATTATTAAAAAACCGAATCATGAAGAGTTGCACAGTGTTTTATAAACAAGTGAAGCTGACCAGGAGATTCCTTTTTGTCCTTGTAGTTTCAAGAATTTATTCCAATTTTACTGTTTTAAGTGTAGCCTAAAGTTCACTTTTCTTTCTCATCATGATAATATAAAAATAATGTATTTTTGGCCCTCAACTACTTCCTGAAGCACCAGGCTGACATCCGAATTTCAGGACTTGGGGGTTGGCAGTAGGGCTGTGTAGGGCTCGGCCCTGGATTATAATTAAAGACAGTCATGAAAGTTCACAACTGTCCTTAATTTCCACAGAAGGAAGGGAGAAAAATTTCTGCCAAGCGAATTCACGTGTTTGAATAATTTTACTTTGCACTTAAGATAAATGGTATCTTTGGGATCTAGAATACACAGTAGTCTCACTGTTTATTTCCATTTTAGGGGAATTTCATCAGTAGAATGAAATTAGGTAACTTTCCTAAGGCGGTGGAAGAATCTGACTCTTGGCCGAGAGAGCCTATTACAATTCCTGGAGTATCTCTAAATAACCTCATAACGACCTTAACATTTAAGTCTTAACATAACCTTAACATTTTTTTAAAAAAGTGTGTTTCGGTTTTTTTGTTTTTGTTTGGTTTTTTTTTTTCATGTGCAGGCAATCCCAAACCAATGAATAACCCCTACTTATAAATGGTCCCTGGAAAAACACCTGCCTAAGGCAGGTGGTTTGATGGCTCTAGAAACTCCCTTCCTTTCCTTGTCACCAACAGGGATTTCCCCTTCTCTCTTTCCATTTGAGACTCTTATTAATCTGCTTTTAGTCTTCCCTGGTACCATCTTTGGTTTTAGCCTGGAGGTTCAATCTTTGTGATAAAAACAGATAAGGAAGAACAAGAAGAGGCAGAAAACACCCTTATCTGCACCCTTTCCAAAGGCTTCCACTGACAAGCCTGTGAACTCATCTTACTGTTAAGCTCCATATAGATCAAGAGAATAGTAGAGTTCTGCTTTCCCACCGATCTATTGTTCACACCATGAGAAGATTTGCTTATCTTTTCTTACAGGGTCTAAGTAAAAAGTAGGGGGCACAAATCGTTGGAGAGAGTCTTCTTAGACCATCTGGACCTTGACTATCAGCCATTAAAAACCCAAATGTATGTGTTCCTCCTTCACAAGCAAGCAGAGGGGAGAAGGTGGTCATATTTTTCAAAGCACTGGGCCAGAATGCCTGGCCAGAAGCCCTGGGAGCATCTCTCTGTACTCAAGGCCCAGAAAGAGAAGAAAGTGATTGGGGAAAACACTAAGGACTCAGACAGATTTGTAAGCACAGACAGCCCAGAGGCCAAAGCCCTTGACCAAAGTGCCATGCTCTTAACCATCTCCTGACCTATCACATTAAAATGCCCATCCTCTACTAGTTGTGATGGGAATCTCAGCACCTCTGCTCATCTTCCTCTCCTGGAACACTTACTGCAGACAACAAGGACATCTACTAATGGTTCAGAACGGGAACAGTCCCAGACCACAGGCAAGAAAGAGGCAAAGAGCCCTACCATGACTCCATGGGGAGAAGAAAGAACAAGAGAGGAGCTGTGTGCGTGACAGCCCAGGCCGTGACATGAACGAATGGCAGCTTCCCGGGGCAGCACTGGTAAGGCTACAGTCGTTTAGTACTGTTTGGGCCGGAAGATACATTTACACTTCAAATAATCAGCTTATCAATCCATTTTGAGAATATAAATTGGCACCGCCTCAACTCACATTATAGAGTTGAAGGTATGCAATTCAAATCAGAGATCCTTTTTCCTCTTTTAAGGCAAGAATTGTTTAAAAGTAAACTACAGGTAAATTTGATCTGTATCTGATAGTATTTTCAAAAATCTTGAGTAAAAGTTATGGAAATAAAAGAATTCTAGCAAGTCCGTTTTTTGGTTGTTTCTAAAAACTGGCTTAAAAATACCTACCTAGAGAACTTTCTGTTCTGGATAGTTTTGAAGTGAAACTATCGAGAGTGAAGTCATATATAATTTATATTTTAATTTACATATATTTTCTAAGAAATTTATATATAGTTGATTGGTTGGGATGGAGCTAGAGAATAAAAATAAAGTAATTTGCCTTTCAATTATTAATGAAATGTTTAAATGCTTATTTCTTTCAATATACTGCTATAAACACAGAATTACTTATTCTACCTGTCTTTCCCCCCAAACTCTCATGTACTTTTTCTTGATCACTCGATTTTATTTTTCCTTAAGGGAATGTTAATAATTCGTATTTTTTCTATTCAAAGTGCAATTTGCTTAAATTATCATTGTAATTCAACTGAAGAAAAGGTATCATGAAATTCTAGGATTTCTTAAAATTAAACTTTGGGGTTTTACTGGATTTATTTTTAACTTACAGGTATTGATCCTTAACAACTGAGTTAAATTACACCAAGATAAAGATAATCTCCAGGTGGGAAGGAACAAATAGGGATGTGAGCTTTCCATGTCTCCTGCTTTGCCTCTTTCAAGTGCAGCCCAAGCTGTGATATATAGATCATTTTTCCTAATGGCTGATCCTGCTGAAATCTGAAAGCACTGCCACCCTTCAGTTCAGAGCAAGGGCTTGTTGAATTCTGTTTGTACTTCCCTAATCATAGGTAGGCATCTGAGAAATAGGAAATGAATCTTTACCCCCAAAGACTCCATTCACTGAAGTTTTATCGCAAATATGCACCAAAATACTTTGGATTCCAGAACCAAGTGCTCAAGCGGCAAATTAAAAGTCGAGCTATAAATGGAAAACAATGAGAGCAAGAGGGCTTATGACCCGGGCAATCTAGTTGCCACTGCTGACCTCAAGATAAGTAGCCACCACTTCTTACAAGGCTCATTCAAAACAAGTGTATGAAGAATTCAGACACAAAAGGTGGTAACACTTTCTAAAGTGGCCCCAGATGACAGTCTTTGGGTACCACTCCTGTGAAACGTGCACACACACAGGCCTGCCCATTCCATCCCAGCTACTGCGGTAACAGGATTACTCACCATATGAGGAAATTCCATATGGCTGTCCCGGCTGTGGGTAGGTGGCGTACGCTGTCGCTTGTTGCATTCCTGTGGTAAACTGTGTTTGCCCATATGCAGCCATAGTTTGTGAGGAAGGGGTAGGGAGAATATGTGGGTATGGTCTGCTATTTGTCAGAAATGACAGAAAATAGAAAGCCCATGCATTAGATGGAAACATGCAAAGTAACTGATTAACAACCATATTACAAATTGCAGTTAAAGACTATCTCCTTAAGTATAACTTTTGAATATAATATACAAAGTACTGAGATGCTTCAGTATCTCTTCTAGGTGATGCTCCAAATAAATCTGGTAAACACACTGAAGTCTCTAGGAAATGAGCTTCGGTTTAAATTAAGACATAACATGTGGGCACAAAACATGACTTGAAATAAGGTAAAGGTTACTCAAAAAAGTCATTTATTAAGAGAAAATACATCTTACTTGGAAGGATATATCTGTGGTGGGGAGAACTGGTGAGGTGGTCTTGGGCTGAAGCTACTGCTCCCAATTGCTGAAAAAAAAAAAGAAATGCACGATAATCACAGCAAAATACAAAATATGTCGAAAGCATCGGTCTATTTTTGAACTACACGTAGAGACCATACGAAATTGCAGATATTTGGCCTGGAAAAAAAAAATGGCACTTTCATATGCTCAACCTAAGAGAAAGTTAAAAAATATTGAACGACCTATGAGAACTGATTAAGGGGTTCGAATGTTAAACTAACTCTTAGAAAGTAGTCCCTGTCTTCTGAAATACCGGTCAGTGGCAGTTCAGGAGAACAAGGCGTCCTGGCTACTGTTCCGAAGGACCTGCTCAAAGGGGTGGGAGGAGGGTGAGTTTGCAGGGCTGGGCGGGACCCAAAGGTCTCCTAGCCTATTGTGTGGGCTTCGAACACACACACCTGAGAATGGATTACAGAGCACCACCCCCGCCCAACCCCCCAACCCCCCACCCTCCATCTAATCTGCTCTCAGGTGAGTACAAATAGGGCCAAGCCTCATTTGCCTGTACTGCTTTAGCAACATTTTTTAGTAAAAATGCATTCCTATAGCGCTCTTAAATTTCTCAGGTTGCAAACTAAGCCTGTTTTTTCTTGCACTGAGGCGGTGTTCCTGCACCTTTCAGTTAAATGTGCTCAACTTCAGTTAATTCCACTAAAAAGGTTTTTGTTTTTTTTAATTTAAAGACGTTATTCAAGCATTCAAGTAGAAGTTCATCTCTTTATAATCACATGGACTTTATTCAGTAGGTCTCAGAAAATGCACTAAACTCTATCAAACATTCTTTTACATCCATTCTGAACTAGAGCAAAAATCCATTTTTGTGAAGATAAGGCATTAAAATGGTAGTTGTTTTATTTATTGTAAATAGGAGCTATCTCTTTCATGTGCATATATATTACATACATTTACACTTTATATATTTATATATATACACACAGTATATATATTTATATATACACATGTGTTTCTAAGTATACGTATAATATATGTAAAATATATATTAAAAAGATACCATATCTATATATATATCCCCCCCACCCCAGACTCTTCCTATCCTCTACCTATCCTCTACCTCTAGCTGAGAAGCATATTCTTTGGGTACAATTATAAGATATAATATGCTTATCTTTTCTCCCACTAATAATCCTGGTGTTCACAGGCTCTATTATTCAGTAACTATACTGTGTATTAAAATCCTTCCGTAAGGTTCCATGCACTCAAAGTTGTATACGTTTTTCATGCCATCACATCAGTACATTTATATTTCTCAAATTTAATTCTCCATTTGTGTTTGGGAGAAGAGTGATAGAGTTGGACCAGAATTGTAATCGATGAATAATTCTCTCCATGTAAAGCAGGGAGGCCTAACCCAGGACAGCAGAGTAGCTCAAGATGAGCACAACTCTTACACATAGGCTGCCAGACGTCCCCCATGTGGCTCTCAGTTTGGCAGAGCCAGGGTCTGCATTAAAGTGAAGGCAGGCCAACTTGGGTGGTGCCCCTCCCCCACCCATCAGCGGGCCCACATTGAGTCACTGCTCTGTACCAGGCACCAGGCAAGATGCCGCAGATGCAGACATGCAAAGACAAGTTCTCTCTGTCCCATGTGGGGAGGTTGACACACAAACAGTCGTGAGGGGATTAGTTAAATATTGCAATTTATAGAAGGGAGGGATTAGTGAGAGAATACTTGGACAACAAGGGCTACCACTTGCCCAGGTCATCCACAATGACAACCTTTCCTGCTCCGCTTTGCTAAGCCTGGAAAGAGACCAAGGGCAAAGGAGATTTACCCCGCAGAGTAGCTGGGGAGGACTAATACATTCCCTGGACAATCACAGTTAAAAATAAGTTAAAAAAATAAATAAATAAAACCAGAACAAAAACCCAGTGCAACGCGATGATGGAAGCCACAGAAATCCCCTTCATGCTTTTCCAGCTCTATCCCCATTTTTTTTGTTTTGTTTTGTTTTTTTCAAATTGTGGGTTGGGACCCACGAAAACATCATAAACTCAACTTCACAGGTTATACTCAGCATTTTTTTTTTTTTTAACAAACAAACAGAATAACAGAATGGTGCATATCGGAGTTGTTACAGAGGGTAAGGGGAGCTCCATGATGCCTTAAGAGCAAATGCATAGTTTAGGTGTGTACACATTAAAGAAAGATATTTGGGAGGCTGCTGAGTGTGGTACCTAAGCACAGGTTCTGGAGTCAGAATTTAATTTCGGTTGACACTGAGGTTCCAACTTCTTGGTTATCTTGGTCAAGTTGCCTGACCCCGCTAAGCCTTGCTGTGTTCCCCTGTATGATGGCAAGAACACCACCTACCCCTTCCAGGATCATTTAAGGACTAAATGGGATCATTGACAAAGTGAACAGTGCAATGGGGAATGTTAATTAGCTCAGATCTCCAGAGTCCCATGATTTTTGCCCCAAATTTGCCCTCCCTTCTGCATTTTTAATTCTACTCAATGGACAGCATCACCATCTGTCCAGCAAAATACTTAAAAGCAGGATTCTTTGTTCCCATTGTACATCTGGGGCATAAAAATGAAGTAACACACCCAAGCAAACAAATGGGAAAGCTGGTATTTGAACCCATGTCTGCCCGACTCTCTCCCTCAAACATACTAGCTCCTGACCTGCTACACAGAAACTAACACCCTCAAAATCATCTCCTTTCCTCTCTTCTATGTCATGAGTCAAGTCACCATCCCAACTCCAGATATTGCCTGTTGAGCTGTCCTGAATACTCCACACCCACACCCCAGTCCTGGCTCAGGTTCTCATTAGTCTCAGTCCGGTTCCCTGTAGGCCACTTGTCACCCTCCACACACTCCTGCCACAGCCACCAAAGTGATCTTCCTTCAACAGAAACTTCAAGTCCATTCTCCAACTCGCCATGTCTCAGCTGTGCTCACATTATCTCTAGGAAGAATTCCAAATTCCTTGGCAGAGTACACGAGGAGATGGAGGCATCCACCCTCTCCTGGGTTTAGTAACCTGTAGCCTCCTTGGGCTTGAGGATGGCCGGTCGGCACTGTGTATTTTCGTGTTTGGCTCGTGGCTCTTCCTACCACATCCTCTGCCTTGTAAGACCTTCTTTCCCCTGCTTGACAAACACTTCCTCCTCTGCTGGGACTGAAACATAATTTTCTCTTTAGGATAATGTCTTCCTTCTCTTACTTTCTTGGAGTGTTGTAAACATTGGCAATGTAGCACTTAACCACATTGCATTATAGTTAGCATGTGTAAGGTAGAGATGTTAGTTTCCTCTGCTAATTGTGAGCTTCTGGGGCCCAGGACCTCTTGTTTACCTTTATTTCCACTCACCTGACAGGGCCTGGTATGTGGTAATTATCAATAAACGATATTTGTTTGATTACAGTATGAGATTTAGGTCATTACCAAAGCAGATTTTTTTTTTTTAAACCTTGATGATATGAAGGGTGGTTAAATTATTTTAAGTCATATATAAACATATATAATAAACCTGATTTAGCTCTTTGGCAATATAATTAGGAATGAATAGTATTCCTTATAAAATACATGTGAGTAAGAACCTGTAATGCTGCCCAAGTATCTTGCTACTAATTACCTAACCACATGCCCCTAAAATGATTATTTAATGCCATAAAATAAGCTGTATCTTTTGGGATTTCCCTAAACCCAAACTCCTACAATTTTGTGTGGCCTAAAGTCAAGAATCTTCCATCTCATACCTCAAGTACTTCTCCTCCTAATTGCCTAAAACACCTTTTACTTTTTACGTAATAATTTAGGAATTCAGATTGATTTTCATTTCATGAGATCAGAATAACCAGAATAAACCCAGATCATTTGTCATTCTTCAAAGTAAATAAGATGGTTATTTTGGCATAGTAAATCCCAAATTACACTTTAGGAACACATGGGCAACTAATACCTCTCTCTCTCTCTCTGTTTTAGCACATTTGTTTCCTATTATTCCATTCTTTCTCTTCCTTCTAACATAGAAACTAAAGAAGTTCCCCAAATCTTGTTGTAGGGAGGGAAGGACCCAAGCTTGAGGAACTACTGAGAAAGTCAACAGAAATCCCCAAAATAGCACGTCTTCAGCTTACTACTCGCATCTTGTGAATGTCAACATCACTCAGCTGGATAAGCAAGTCCAAAGATTAAATGTTTTGACTCTTGGGGCACCTGGGTGGCTCAGAGGGTTAAGCCTCTGCCTTCAGCTCAGGTCATGATCCCAGGGTCCTGGGATCGAGCCCCGCATTGGCTCTTTGCTCAGCAGGGAGCCTGCTTCCCCCCCTCTCTCTGCCTGCCACTCTGCCTACTTGTGATCTCTGTTGAATAAATAAACAAAATCTAAAAAAAAAAAAAAAAAAATTTCACTCTTCTCTTTCCATTTTATCATAAATTCAGCCAGCTCTCCCTTCAGAATATGTCCTATACCTCACTGCTCTCCTTTACCCCTCTGTTCTAATTGCCACAGTGGTGGCCACCAGACGATGGCAGTCAGGACACCCCCCCCCCCACTTGGCTCTCCTTCCCACTCTTCTCCACTCCTTTCTCCTAGTGGAATCCTAACACATTTAGTCCTGCCTCAGTGGCTCTTCTAAGAAGGACATGAGCTAACACAGTCTTCTCTCTCCTGAGCCAGGGCAACATTGGTCAGTTTCTATTTACCCTCCTCTCTCTTCCCATGAAGCATTTTCCACACAAGTGATGATCTCTCAAAAGAAATACAGATTATGTCACAACTGCCTACAACTCCAAGCCCCATTATCCTTCTGTTACATTTAAATGAACCCAAACTTATAAATAAACACTTGCATACATAAACCCAAACTTATTCCCTCACTTCACTAAGATCCCTGCTCATATGATTTCCCCTCAGAGAGGTTGTCTTCCCTCTACAAGAGACCCCCAACCACTCTTCACTGTATTATTTGAGCTGCTTTGGGTTTTTGGTTTTTGTGGGTTTTTTGGTAGCCTAGTTACTTACACTACCACTT